AATTAGCAATTTCTAATTAGTTTTGATTACTATAAATTAATATTTATTTATAATTAATAGTTAATATTTATTAATAATTAATAATTATTTATTATTTATAATATTCATCAAGGTTATTAGTAAAAAACGTGTCAAAAAACTCCTTATAAGCTAATCCAAGTCGCTTATCCATAAGCTAGCTTATAAGCTAACTTATGTACATTTAAATGATTACTCAACTAGTTGTGTACACGTGTAATGCGGCGGAAGCCATGAATTTTAACGATTTTGAAGTTTCACTGGTTTTATTAGAGAAGATTTAACGATGATATAAGTTAAACTTGGTTTTTACATATTAATACAATTTGGATAAATAAGAGTTATGGTTCCAATTACAGTCTATCGATAAAAAAAATTGTATGACGGTTTAAAATCCAATATATTTAAAATCCAACATATTTAAACGACTCCACAAATGTGTTCGATTTACACCAAGAGTAAAGAATCAAGAGATCGAGAGCGAGACCGAGAGTTCTAGAGCAATTGAATGAGAGAACTTTTAATAACTAGTGGTAAATATCAATTTGAATCTCACATTGGGGGATGAGGAGAAGACATAGAGGTATTAGAGAGTGAAGAAGACATAAGTGAAATGTGTAAAAATTATCTTGAGAACATAAAAAGAAAAAAGTAATAATGTGCATTGATAACTTATACAATGTTTATTTTAATTGTAGATTAAGATATTTTAAAATTGAATGCATAAAGTAGTAGTACTTAATACATTATGAATTGTTTTTAATACTTTCAAGACCTTATACATAAATGTATAGTATTTTATACATTAAAAATTGTTTTTAAGATTTTTGATAAATCTGGTTTATAAGGTAAATAGATAGTTTATATTTGCCATCTGTAAACTTCAACGAGATTGTCTTTAATTGCAGCGATTTAAAATCCATTATATCATCTTTATTTATGTAAATTTGTCTTACTCCAATATTTAATTTAATTAATAATTATTATTTATTGTCGGTTTTTATAATTCAATGATACACAACCACGTTTGGTTTTTTCTTATAGAGATATGATGGCTCCTATAAATAAAAAAACCATTATGTCACTTGCTTTCACTCGTCTAACACACGTTTTTTTTTTAATTTTATTATTTAAATACAAAATTAATTATCGATAATCCCAATCAATTTTATACGAAATCCCTTTTCAGATCCATCAATGTAAAAGAAGACCATTTTTTTAGCTTACTTAACAACTGAGGCTAGTGAAATGAAGGCCTGAGTTCGAACTCAAAACCTGTTTTATATTTGAATAAAATCAACACATCATTTCTATATGTGCGATTAAGTCATGTTCTGTGCAAATAAGCCGTAAGTAAACAACTCAAATGAGCTGTGCGAATAAGCCATATAGACCAATAAGCCTAATTAAGCCGCAAGTAAACAGCCCTAAGACATACTATCTCGTATTATTTGTTATTCAAATTAAAGACTTTATAAGTCGTATAATGTAAGTTGTGGGGAAAAAGGCTTGTACTACTCTTCAGACCAGTCCCACGACCATCATGCATAAGTGAATCATGTGTGAAAAAGTGTTATTGTATCAATTTCTTCTGTACCATCACATATATATATATATATATATATATATATAGGGGCTTAATCAAATGAGAACTGAGTTGTTTGTGGTAACTGTAAGAACCAATATAAGCCAATCATTTAAATAATTAAWGTTATATCCTAAAATAACAAAAAGGGTAAATTGGTAATGTTATATCCTAAAATAAAACCCTAGATGCTTTTAGGTATTCTTCTCATTCGTCTCCTTCTTCACCGGCGGAAAAAGTCGCGACTTTTTGGCGGGATGAGGGCTTTCCACCTCGTCGTCGGCGAATCCCGGAAGAAATTCCGGCATGGCAGGGAGGTTGAGGTCAAAYGCGCGTTGACTGTTGGTGGAACCAACGCCTTCCGATGAGGTGACGCCGCTGCTGGTGGCACGACCGCCGCCGATAACCCCTTCATAGTGACGCCGCTTGTGTCCACCCAACGCTTGTCCGGTGGGGAAACACCTGTGGCAGATAGAGCACTCGTGACTCCTTCCGCCACCGACTCCACTATGGGTGGCACT